GAAGCCAAACGGCCACACACGCTCCACGTCACCCAGTTGTTGTCCACGTGTAGGCTTGAAAATCCGCCACACGTGTGAGGGCGTGTTGAGAGTTGTCCCACATCGGTGAGGGACAATGTTTGCTATGTACTTATATAGTCTTGGGCTACTCCCTATATTACCAATTGGTTTTATGGTAGAACTTCAATTTCATCAAGAGATGCATGGCTTTATGGTGGAACTTCAATTTCATCAAGAGATGCAGCGGCGGAGAAGAGGTCGGGAGATCCGATATCCAAAAGAAGATGCAGGGAGAGAAGAGTTTTATTCTGGGTGGTTGGATGGAACCTAGAGGTGGTGGTGGTGGTTCATGGTGGTCGGCAGAGGAATTGGGTTTTGTGGGAAGGAAGGGGAAGAACAGAAGGAGGGGAAACGAAGAAGAAGATGTTCATCTCAGTCAACGCCAGCCAATCGCCATGAGCACCGCCAGGATTGCTGCCACTCAACCTCTCTTCTTCTCTGCACCTCACTGTCACAATCTCACAGACCTCCTTCCATTTATGTGGTGGACTCTAAAGCAAATAGAACCTCCCCCTCCCTAAAGTTGCGATGCTAGTACGTTGTTGTAGCCTTAACTGTGTGTGAGGCAATTTGGTTAAGAAATCTGTTGAAATCCTTATGTCATCCACAAGCGGAATCGACTGTGATTCATGTGGATAACATTTCAGCTATCAAGTTTGCTAGGAATCCAGTCCAACATGGAAGGAGCAAACACATTGATACCAGGTTCCATTTTATGAGGGACCATATGAAGCAAAAGACAATTGAGCTTGTCTATTGTCACAACAAGGAACAAGTGGTAGACATCTTCACAAAGCCACTGCCGGTTAAGTCATTCAAGTTGCTGCGTGAAATGCTAGGCATTTTGATTTGAGGCGGCGTGTTGGGAGTTCAAATCAACAGCTATTGAGGGGCCATAATTGGTGGAACACTTTTCAGCTAGCTGCCTTGTTTTTTCAACAGTTATACGTGTATTTTCTTTGATAGCTTTTGTGTGTGTCTGAAGTGGCCAAAGTGTTAAAAGGGTGTGAAGACTTTTTTGAACACATTCATTTGTTTTGCTTTGATAGATTTCAACACTAGGTTTAGAAAGTCGTTGTTTTGTATTGTTATTAAAGCCACTTGTGGGGTTCTTTTGTTTTTGCATGTATTAGTCTTTGGTTATGTACGTTTGAAGTAATCCTATTCTAGAAATAAAAGTTGTAAACTCTTCAGAATATTTTTCTCAAAACTTACTGCATCTTTCTTTCTTTTGTCCAATTTTAATTGAGAGTGAAAGTGAGAGATGTGATAGAGTTAGAAAACTTATCACCCACATTTTTTGGTATTGAGTTAGTAAACTTTGAATACCAACATTTTTCATGTTATAAATGTTGAGAATCAATGTCAAAGTTAGGCAATGTTAGGCAATGTTAGTCAATGTCAAAGTTAGGCAAAGTTAGTCAATGTTAGTCAATGTCAAAGTTAAGCAATGTTAGGCAATGTTAGGTATGGTTGTGTGGAAAAAATAATTAGGTGCAATTAATGTGTTTTGTGTGGTAGTAAATAATCTTAGTTTAATTAAGTAGCTTTCATTTGGTTTGCTATAAATACCCAAGTCCCCAAGCCTTGTAAATCATCCAAAGGAAAAACAAAGCTAAGTGCTAAATAAGAAAAGCTTTGCTAATTAGTGTTTTTGTGAGCTTTCTTTAGAGTGTGCTTTATTTTCTTCTTCTTGGAATAATTAGAGTTATCTTGTATACTCTTTTTTGTTCAACAAGAAATTGAAAGCATACCCATGACTGAACCTCACCAAGCAGTTTCAAAACCTTAATTGTTCCCTAATTTTTCCTAATTAACCTTTTCTCTTGTTTGCTCAATTAGCTGTCATGCATCCACTAATGGCGTTAAAATTCATACCAAAGCTCAGCGCTCCATCCATGTTTTTCGTCATGGTTATTCTAGCCATGACTACATTTCCAGCGATCCGAGCCACTCACGAGTTCAAGGAAACCCACCTGTCTTTCTACGCTCATGACTTCTTATCTGGTGCAAAATATCACAGATGTTGCGTTTGCAGGTATTCCCGGCAAGACTTGGAACTACAATCAATTTGCCACTGTTTATGCGGAGGATGCCCCTTTAACGGAGGGCATGGACCTAAAATCCGCCTCCGTTGGCCGGATACAAGGCATGTTTATGGTATCGTCATTGGATGGACGTAATTCCTACGATATGTTATCAATTTTATTCACAAACAAGAAGTACAATGGAAGCACTCTACAGATACAAGGAATTGATAAGCAATTCGAGCAACATAGAGAATTATCGGTTGTTTCAGGTACCGGAAAGTTTCGATTTGTTCGAGGATTTATTACGTGTAATACGGTTTTTGTGGACATTCCAAATGCATATTTTGTTACACAATGCAACGTTACAGTAAAACACTACTAGCAAAGAATCACGTATGTTGGTTATACTATGTATCTATGATGAAACACTATTAGCAAAAAATTACGTGTATTGGTTATACTATGTATCTATGAACATTTAGTTCATGTTCTTATTTTTATCATATGCTTAATTATGTTTGGTTATGAGAATTAGTTATCGTTTATTATGAATAAAATCTTGTTAAATTAACCTTTTGTCTTATCAATGTTCGAAATCAAAGCCTCTTATTTCCATTTGTAACAGTATTTTTCGGCTTAATTAGCAGCTCCTAGATGATCTCTTGTTTTGGAAATTATATAGCCTAAGCTAGCTAGCTGGCGACTGAACTGAAAGTCAATTAATCTAGCTAACCCTAGCTGGCTATATATTTTGGGGTGTGATATCCACACACCCCATTTTACTTCTCACACACCCTTCTAATTTTCGACCGTTGGATCGGATGAATTGAAGAAGATCAACGGATAGAAATTAACAAGAGGTGTGTGAGAAGTAATTTGGGGTGTGTGGATAGCACACCCCTATATTTTTATGTGTTCTTCTATTTGTATTACGATAGTAGAATGCCAGGTAGTTTAACAAAATTTTATTGATGAAGAAATTTTTCCAAATATGCGATATTTAAGTCGGTACTTCTAAGTATAATAATCTATGAAGAGCAAAAGTATTTTTTCTTGCCCCATATATATTACAGGGAGTAGGATTATTTCTTCTCTTATTCTCCTTCCCTTCCTTTCCCTCCTCTTCTTTTACACATTATTTTTTTATTTTATTGTCTCAATAAAAAATTATATTCGTTCATAAGAAAAAAAGCCTAATGAAAGAAGTTAGGAAGGAAAAAAAAAATTAGAAAAACTAATGAAAAAGGTTTGAAAACTTTGAGTTTTAATGATAAGGACAAAATAAATAGTAAAATGTATAGTACCAGATTTAATTTTTTAATGTAATGAACAATAACACGAACTTTTCGTTAAAACTTCTAAAAAAATTCTCTTCATGGAGGAATATTTTAAGTACGACGTCCTTGAATAAAGGTTCTCTTATTGTTGGGGACCATCTCGGCTTTATGTTTGTTTTTGGCAGGAAGTATAGTAAATAGGAATTTTCTTTCAATGTAACTGTCACACGAGATGGTATATTATGTGTCTTTATATAAATAATGTGATATATGTGTTAAAAAGTTAATAAATTAAAATTAAATATTTTTACTATTTACATAAAAATACATAATATATTATTCATATTTTCGTCACAACTAAGAATTTCTCAGCAAATAAAGGTTAGTATTGAGAAAGTACGTGAGGTCCAATACATGTGACTGTCAGAATCCCAACTACTTTGACATGCAAAGCTTTTGTCTTTTTCTTTTTTATTTTATTTTATTTTATTTTCCTGTGTGATCAAGGGCTAAAGTACCATTGCAGATAAGGTTTGACAGCTGGCAGCCAATGATTCATTTAGTATGTAAACTGGCAGCTGGCAGCTAATGATTCATTGAGTATATAACCAGGGACTTGGATTCTATGGCCTCCCAATTCGGTCCCCTCTCCGTGTCCTCCTGTTTTGTGTGATCATGGTTAATTCATGCTAACATTTTATATTGTTTTTTTTTATAAAAATAATAAGACAAAAAATAAATAGTAATATAAAATATTGACGGGGAGGGTACCGAATTGGGAGGGCAGAGAATCCAAGTCCTATAACCAGACAAGTCTCCCCGTAGGCTAAGGACAATTCTCATTATGTGTTGAGTTTTTTGGTTTGAAATTATATTTCTATTAAATTAATGTAATAATTTTAAATTTACTTTCTTTCTTAATAATCTTTATTAATTAATGAAATCTTTTTTATCAATTAAAAGAAAGTGAAAATACTACTTAGTTTTTTTTATCAATAATGTAATTTATAGGTCCAAATTTTACTGTTTTTTATTGAAGCCTTATCTATAAGTGATGTTAAAATACATTCAATATTTAAAAAAAAAAACCAAAAAAAAACTTGCCCCCCCCCACGTTCCCTCTCTCTCCCTCTCTCCTTCTCATTTACAAATACTAATAGTAAATTAAAAAAAAATTCTCATTGTATTTTGCTCCAATGTAGTTACTATCATTGACAGTTCGATATTTGAAATGCATTATCACCCGCTTTGAATTTTGTTATAAAGGTTGGGGATAGAATAAATGAATGTTCTTTTAAATAATAATCGCAATTCTTGATATAAAGTGGTAGATGAACATAAAATCTTACTCACCATGTTGACCAAAAGAAGGAAGTAATTAAGTGTTATTTCAATAGCTTAATATAACTACTGACAAAAGTTAATCGACATTTAGATAATAACTCAAGGGGTGTGTTATCCACACAACCCATTTTACTTCTCACACACCCCTTGATAATTTCTGTCTATTGATCTTCTTCAATTTATCCGATCCGACGACCAAAAATTAAAAAAGTGTGTGAAAAATAAAATGAGATGTGTGGATATCACATCCCCAATTCAATCATCTACTACCACATTTTTGGTTTAAAATTTTAAAAGTTTTTATATAACTTTTGATCAAAACCGTTGAATATTATAAGATCTAAAAGCTACAAACTAGTGTAAAAATATCTTCAAAATCTTTGTCCTTATCTCATCCCTATATATAAATGTTATTCTTGTCTCCAAAAGGCAGACTGAGACAAACCCTAGAAACATTTTCCTCTCTTTGCCGCTCACTCTCACTCTCTCTCTCTCTCTCTCTCTCTCTCTCTCTCTCTGTGTTTCACTTCGGTGCAAGCAAAATGGAGTTTTTGAGGTAGGGGAACATATCTGATTTCCTTAAATCCAATGCTTTTCATTTTGTATTTTTTCTAATATTTTATCCTTCTTCTTGGTATCCAGAGGGCTTTGGCTGAGATAAACTCACCATGATCCTCCCTCTCTTCCCGCTCCATTGGAAGGAAAATGGGGTTTTGAGGTAGTGCCATAGAGCTGATCCCTTTTCATTCATATGCTTCTATTTTGTAGTATTTTTGTGGGAAATCTTTGTTTCTTGTTTCTGTGTTTCTCCGCTCCGGTGGAAGGAAAAGGGGGTTTTGGTAGAGCCGTAGATCTGATTTTATTTTGTTTCATAAGCTTGTATTTTGGAATATTTTGTGGGAAATCTTTGGTTCATGACTTGTATTCTTTCTGCAGGTGGTAGTTCTAGTGATGGTGGTGGTATCAGTTCATTACAGTGAGCCAAGTTACTTGAGGTCTCTCTCTGTCCTTTCCCTCTCTTGTTTACTGTATTGTGCAGAATTGCATGAATGTGTGGTGGTTTGCATAAAAATCCCAATTTTTACCAATTCTCTAACATTTTCCCCCAATTTTTCTGTGTTTAATTGGTTTTTTTTTGGGATCTGTTGCGGCTGGGTTTTTTTGGGTTTCTTTGGATAGTAGGCAACTACTGGGAAAATTGGGGGAAATTGGGTTTCCTTTTTGTTTCTCTTTCGATCAACCAAGTCGGCATGTGTGAACGCAACGTATATATGCTAATGATACATCCTGTTATTCTGTTATGTTGGGTCGTAACCTAAGAATAATGCAACACAGAGAGCATAGTTACTCTAAAACTGTTATCATATAAAAATTTCACATACTTGTTATGACCGTTAAAGTCGCTTCAGTGCCAAATCCAATTGCATAAAAAATTTCACATACTCGTATAACAATGTTTGCCTTACATTCGTTTGTTTATTGAATTTGAGACATAAAATTCAAATTTGATGTGAATTTTTAGCAAGGAAGGCTAGAAACTCTCTGTAAAATGATAATGAGTTTTAACGTTTCAGGATTACTGTTGTATTATATCTGTGGTTGTGGTCTGACATTACAGATTTGCAGGAAAAAGTAGTAAAATGCCTTACTGTTGTATTATATCTGTTGTATTATACCTGAGGTAATATATCTGTAACTTGCTCTCTCTTGTTTTCTGTATTGTGTAGAATTGCATGAAGTGTGGTGGTTGGTTGGATTGTCATTTCTGTATTTTTATCGGTGGTTTTTGAGATCTGTTGCAGCTGGGATTATTGAGTTTATTTTTATCGGTGGTTTTTAGATATTCATACATGTGCATCTTCACCTTGTATCTCTTAAGTTTAATAAGTGGTGGTTAGGGGGTTTAGAGTGATGTTTGAATCCAGCATCTCCTGCAACTAGAGCGACGATATGATTTTAGAATACCAATAATCCTTGAAAGTTGAAGTTCTTGAGAAGGATTACATTGTTGACCAAGCTAACAACCATGTAAATATGAGATTCTACATGATTGAAGCATATACTTTCACCGTTAGATATGCTAACAACAACTCCTCAGCTAAAAAAACTACATGACCTGATGTTTTGATATAAGAAATATCTTCATGTGTTTGTACATAAGTAGAAATATGAAAGTTGTGACCCTTACAATGGTGGCAATGTCTCTGAACCTGATCAAGTTTTGCGGCTGCAGGTTTATGAAGGCTAATATGATAAAGGCTAATATGAATGACAATAGAGATTATTGTATAAGTGTATAAGATTTAAAGGCTAATATGATAAATTAATTTAGTTATGATTCTCTTGAAAGTGATTATATAGTACAAAGTTTCAAAGGGTTCATTCAAATGCATTTCACAGAACATGATATTTGTCAAATGTTGTTTATTGAGATTGCTGATGTGGTTGTCTTCTTTATTTGTCAGTGCATATTTCCTTTAATGCTATTTGAATATTTCTTTTTGCTTGCTGTTGTAGTCCTCCTTGGGTTGTCTGAATAGTGTGGCATGTCTTACATTTTGACGATAAGACTGTAAGACATGTAACACATTGTTGTATGTTAAACATCACAAAAGGAAGGAGTGTTGACTATCTTCCTTTTCTTTGTTATCTTTTCTGTTTGATTGGATTTAGGTTTCTTTGGAATTTTATTTTGTAATTGAAGGTTTACTGATTGATTTGTCGGAAATTGGGTTTCTACTTCTAATTTGAAAGTGGGGTTTTCTTAATTTCCTTTTTGTTTCCCCTGTTGTTGTTTATCTTCCTCAAAGTTGCTGTGTTATGGGGATTTTGTACACGTCTGAGTCGGGGGTGGGAGGGGAATTGTAAGATAGATAGTCTTTTGCTCTTGTGGTGTCTGAAGGAGTAGGGACAAATTTAAAACTCTTATGTTGTTTATGTTTGTGAAATTGCAGCTCCAATCAAAAGTTGCTTGCTTTTATCATTGCTTTGACTGTATGAGAACGTTTCAATGTCAATTTCAATTGTACTCATAAACTCCTCTTGTTAAAGGATTTGCTTATATAGATAAAAGGTTTGTTATGAAGTATGTGAAATGAAACCTTGATCTTCAAAGTATGGAGTTTAAGTCATTATGTAGTTACACGTATGCAGATATCTGAACTTGTGTGGAAGCTAATCCAACATTTTGATGTGGTTTTCTTATTTTCTTTGTTTTTCATAATCTTGTTTGACATATTATCTACTTGTGATGGGAATTTTTTAATTACCTACTTTATTCTTTTATCTTGAAAACAGAGGATGCCCACTACGGTTGTAGTTATTCTAGTTGATGAGGGCGCCATATTTGCAGTGGATGCTAGGGGTTTCTACGAGAATAGTGAAACTGAATCTCATGGATATCATGATGAGGGTCATGAGTTTAACTAAAGACCATTTGGTTTGAATTGTGGGATACAAGGAAATAATTGAAGTATGTTTGAATATTTGGATTAACATGTGCGAAACCTTTTGAAACAGGAAATGCACCTTATATATATATATATATATATAATATTATATTACAATGTCATCTGACTTTGAATTAATGTAGAATATAAACCTGACTATTGAATGAGTCGCATCGGAATCACTTCCTACAAAAAAGTTGGCAATTTCAAAGACATCTCCCTGTATTATCTATGAATCGCATAGTTTTCGTTGCGAATCCTTCAACGATAAGGTTTATGTCCTACATTAATTCAAAGTCTCATGATCTTATAATATACATATATATATATAGCTATAAGGTGCATTACCTGTTTTAAAAGGCTTTTGCACATGTTTATCCAAATGTTCAAACAAACTTCGATTATTTCCTCGTGTCCCACACTTCAAACTAAATAGTCTTGAGTTAAACTCATATCCTCATCATGATATAATGAGATTTAGTTTCATTAATCTCGTAGAAACCCGAGTATCCACTGCAAATATGGTGCCCTCATCAACTAGAATAACTGCTACTGTAGTGGGCATCCTCTGTTTTCAAGATATCACAAGCAGATAATATGTCAAACGATTATGAAAAACAATAAGAAAACCATATCAAAATGTTGGATTAGCTTCTACACAAGTTCAGATATTTATATCTAATCGTTAAATTTATTGACACAGGTCAAATCTGACCTAAAATATAGTTTCAAAAAATTTATTTTCAATGTGATTATATTTGATAATAACCTTATCGCATTAACAAAACATATTATTTATGAGTAATGGTACACATACCACATTCACATGTTAGTAAAAAAAAATTCAAAATCCAATGCGATTATACCTTTACCAACAACAACAACAACAAAGCATTTTCCCACTAAGTGGGGTCGGCTATGAATCCTAGAACGCCATTGCGCTCGGTTTTGTGTCATGTCCTCCGTTAGATCCAAGTACTCAAGTCTTTTCTTAGAGTCTCTTCCAAAGTTTTCCTAGGTCTTCCTCTACCCCTTCGGCCCTGAACCTCTGTCCCGTAGTCACATCTTCGAACCGGAGCGTCAGTCGGCCTTCTTTGCACATGTCCAAATCACCGGAGCCGATTTTCTCTCATCTTTCCTACAATTTCGGCTACTCCTACTTTACCTCGGATATCCTCATTCCCAATCTTATCCTTTCTCGTGTGCCCACACATCCCACGAAGTATCCTCATCTCCGCTACACCCATTTTGTGTACGTGTTGATGCTTCACCGCCCAACATTCTGTGCCATACAACATCGCTGGCCTTATTGCCGTCCTATAAAATTTTCCCTTGAGCTTCAGTGGCCTACGACGGTCACACAACACGCCGGATGCACTCTTACACTTCATCCATCCAGCTCGTATTCTATGGTTGAGATCTCCATCTAATTCTCTGTTCTCTTGCAAGATAGATCCTAGGTAGCGAAAACGGTCGCTTTTTGTGATTTCCGCTAGATTGCTCCGGTCATTAGTGTGGATAAGTATATAAATGGATAGAGATAGGAAAGCAAACACAAGATGTACGTGGTTCACCCAGATTGGCTACGTCCACGGAATAGAAGAGTTCTCATTAATTGTGAAGGGTTTACACAAGTACATAGGTTCAAGCTCTCCTTTAGTGAGTACAAGTGAATGATTTAGTACAAATGACATTAGGAAATATTGTGTGAGAATGATCTCGTAATCACGAAACTTCTAAGTATCGGAGTGTGGTGTCGTCTTGACTTGCCTTATCTGTCTCATAGGTAGATGTGGCATCTTCTCTGGAAGTACTCTTCCTCCATCCAGGGATGGTATCTTTAACTGGTGGAGATGCATAAGGTAATGTATCAATTTCACTTGAAGCTTACTTGTAGTTTCAGGCTTGGTCAAGCGCGATACAAACCATGTAGTAGGAGTCCCCCAAGTCGCCGAGCTACGGGGTCTGCTGAAAGAGGTGACAGACAAGGTAAGCAATCAGAGCTCCGACTGATTGTTCACCTTCTCCCCATCTTGCAGCAGCATGAAGGATAAAGAGAAGAAAAATGAGAAGAGATGATATGAGATACTTTTGCTTTTGAAGAAGTAACTTTCCACAGGCTTATTCTTGAACTGAGCTGGAGGGTTTTCTGGTTTCCTCCAGAGTATAAGGCCGACTGAAGAATTTGAGGGTCAAAACAAGTCCATCAAATCTAGAGTACGTTCCACCCTGCTGATATGTGATACTTTTGCTTTTGACAGAGTAATGGATGTATCGGCACGTGTGCTGTTACGCTTGTCTCCACATGCTTCCTTGTATCCTTCGCACTTGCCCTATCTGTTCCTCAAGCAGATGCGGAATCTTCCCTGGAAACATAAGATGTTGAAGATGAGTACTCGAGAGCAATGCCAGATAAGTAATCAGGTAAGGGGTTCCAGGCAGTCAGTTTCTGGCTGGAAGCTTGATTCCAAGTGCTGACTGATTGCTCTCTTTCTCCTTGTCTTGCAGGTAAAAACAAGGCCAAAGGAAAAGACGAAAAAAACATGATATGGGATACTCTTGCTTTTAACCCTGATGATATGAGATATTCTTGCTCTAGTATAGCTTGTTTGCAGAGGTATTATCGGGGGGAAAGAAAGCTGAATATTTCGAAAGGCTTCGTTGGGAGTGCCCTCTCAGATATGATGAAGGGTTGAGCATTTTTGCAGGCCTGCCTGTCCGTTGGAGATGGAGGTCGACATATATAGGAATCTCCCTAACAACAAGTAGTAATGCTATTCCTTTACCCTGCTTGGTCATAGCACGGTAGTGGGAGCTGCCAGTTTCACATGTTTTAACTCTGTCAGAGCAGTTTGAAAAAGTGGTCTGTGGTATCTGGCTCTCGAGATTCGGAGAACGATGCCTCTTCGATTTTTGAGAAAGCAATCATGCTGGGGGTCTGGCTCTCGAGATTCGGAGAGCAGTGTCTTTTCGATTTTTGAGGAAGTAATCATGTTGGGAGTCTGGCTTTCGAGATTCGGAGGGCGGTGCCTCTTCGATTTTGGAGCAAGCAATCCTGTTGGGAGTGTTGTCTCGAATGTGAGTAAAGGTTGGGCATGTTTGTTAGTCTACCTTGCCACGAAGCACAAAGGTTGACACACAGGGACTTTCCAATTATCCAGCAATGGTACTGTTCCTTTACCCTCTCTTCGCTTTTGAGAAAGTAGTCATGTTGGGAGTCTGGCTCTCGAGATTCGGAGGACGGTGCCTCTTCGATTTTGGAGCAAGCAATCTTGTTGGGAGTGTTTTCTCGAATGTGAGTAAAGGTTGGGCATGTTTGCTAGTCTACCTTGCCACGAAGCACAGAGGTTGACACAGGGACTTTCCAATTATCCGGCAGTGGTACTGTTCCTTTACCCTTGTGGGTAATAATATGGTAGCTAGACCTTCAAAATTTATGTGTCTAAACTTTGTTAGTGCTGTTTCTTTGCTATTTTTTTACCTTTCTTGGTCAGAGCGATGTAGTGGGAGCTGCAAGCTTCACGTGCTCAACTTTGGCAGAGAACTTTGGCAAAGTTATCTGTGGTACCCATGAGCTATTGTTGCGTGTGGGAAGTGGGTGATTGAACAGTAAGATTCATGTGCTTTCTACTTCACCAGAAGTCTTCGACAGAATGCCCATAATTTCTGCAAAACTGAGTGCGTGTGACAGGTGCTAACAAGGCTAGAAAAGTAGGTGCCTCTTCGATTTCTGAGTGTGCGATTATACCTTTACCAAAAACAGAAATTAAAAATAATAATGAAAAAGGGAAAAACAAACCCTTATATTCACAAGGCCAGGCTCCCCACCGGAATCTCCTCTCTCTTTCGCACACAGCCATGAGCCAGAGCGGTAACGAGTCCGAGCGCCAGAGCAAGAAACAAAAACTCTTGAGTCCAGATCTAGAATCGCTCCAGGGCCCGATCCCGGACTTACCACCGAACGCAGACGAGCTGCGCAAGCGGGGGAAGCTCATATGGCACTGGGACGATAGCGATGATGATGAATTCGAGGACTTCCCCCCGGGAAAGGTTTATTTTGCTATCGAGGAAAACTATAATGCTCGAATGACTGGTATGGTTTTGATGTTTTTTTTTTTCTTTGATTTAATTTTAGGGTTTTGTGATTAATTTTGCAAGCAAGCCTATATCCCAGATATTATTTCTTTAAATTTTGTGTATTTAACAGCGAAAAAAGAATTGAGTGAGATAAGGGCACGAAGATCATCCCTCAAAGAAAGGAAGAACACCAGTATGTCCCCCGAATTAACAAGACTAGTCAGGTTTATTATTTTATTCGATTTTTGTTTGTGATTCGGGTGTGCCAATCTCTGAATTTTTCAGTTTATGAGGAAGATGAAGAGTGTTTTTTTTCTTTTCTTTTGTACAAATACGGGAAACAGTACATATTATTCATCCATGTTGATATTAAGTTTGTGTAATTATTTTACAGCGGAAGCACAGACAGATGACAAACCAAAAACGGGTCGATGGTTTTGTCTCCAACCACATATCCCGCCTCCCATCTACTGTAGAATTTGTAAGAAGAGCGATGACCACATGACTAAGCAATGCCCGCGTTTTGGTATGTTTTTTGTATTTTTTTCTCTGCTATTTCTTCTCCCTTTTACATTTTGGTGAGGCTGGGCGATTCATTTGATGATGGTGCAACCATGATCGCGTCTCTCTTTTACATAACATAATCTCTCGAGACTGATGATCGAAATAGCGGAATGACTGTTAAAGTTAGGCAAGACAATCTAACCCATTAAATCTGTGGACTCTGGTCTGTTTTTAAGAAACCTGTTTTGGGTATATGATTCAATATCGGTCTCTGACTCTCCCCAGTTTTTATTCGTTTTTTGGGTTCCTCCTCATATTGACCGAACGTGCAGAGAAGGCCACTGGGAAACGAGCCATTTGTGAACAATAGAGTGATGCCGACGGCGATATTATATAACAAAAAATACAGTTATTATGTATTTAGCTTTTATTTCTATTTTTAATTTATGCCTTTAGTGTTTATTTAGTTTGGTTCATAAATCTTTTTTGACAACTTTGAAAGGGTCATGCAGATAATATTAGTGTGTGACGGTTCTTAATTAACTATTCAAAACAACTTTTTGTTGATATGATGATGATAGGTAAAACCTTTAACTGATGGGGATCCATTACCTGACGGATTTTGTGTATGGGGAATCTTTAATTCGATTGGACTTGCAAGGACAGGGTTTTGGGGAAGTTTAGCTAGTCTGGCCCCAATCCACCCCTTTGCAGTCCCTATTTGAAGTACTCACATAGTCCTCTTTCGGTATTAGAAACACAGTTTAGTCATTGATATTTACTTGGGCATGTCACATGTTTATGGTGTCAAAAGTTAGGATTAGCATGCTCGACTAACTTGAATGCTTGTGCAGACTCTTCAACTGTTGTTCATGACGTGAGATGTCGACTCTGTTTGAGGGAGGATCATGTGGTTCCAATTTGTCCGTACCGGTACTATGTCCCAAAGGGTGAAAAAGTTGGCCCCGGCGGTAAACTCGTTTGCATATGTTGTCAAAAAGAGGGTGGCCATCCTGGTGAGGAATGGGTAGGAAAAGCTGTTGGTAATTATTGCAGGATTTGTTCTTCTACTTATGACCACAGGACTGAAGACTGCCCCGTGAAAAAGGGAAGAGAGATAGTAGGAGGCAAGTTCCAATCGGCTATGGTTGACTCGTGAACAGAAATGTATTTAATTGGGTAGAACTGAGTTCATGCTGGATCAGGTTATATGATATGTAGTGTTCATTTGTTTCATTTTGTATTTTTTCTAATTTTTTATCCTTCTTCTTGGTATCCAGAGGCTTTGGCTGAGATAAACTCACCATGATCCTCCCTCTCTTCCCGCTCCATCGGAAGGAAAATGGGGTTTTGAGGTAGTGCCATAGAGCTGATCCTTTTTCATTCATATGCTTCTATTTTGTAGTATTTTTGTGGGAAATCTTTGTTTCTTGTTTCTGTGTTTCTCCGCTCCGGTGAAAGGAAAAGGGGGTTTTGGTAGAGCCGTAGATCTGATTTTATTTTGTTTCATAAGCTTGTATTTTGGAATATTTTGTGGGAAATCTTTGGTTCATGACTTGTATTCTTTCTGCAGGTGGTAGTTCTAGTGCTGGTGGTGGTATCAGTTCATTACAGTGAGCCAAGTTACTTGAGGTCTCTCTCTGTCCTTTCCCTCTCTTGTTTACTGTATTGTGTAGAATTGCATGAATGTGTGGTGGTTTGCATAAAAATCCCAATTTTTACCAATTCTCTAACATTTTCCCCCAATTTTTCTGTGTTTAATTGGTTTTTTTTGGGATCTGTTGCAGCTGGGTTTTTTGGGTTTCTTTGGATAGTAGGCAACTACTGGGAAAATTGGGGGAAATTGGGTTTCCTTTTTGTTTCTCTTTCGATCAACCAAGTCGGCATGTGTGAACGCAACGTATATATGCTAACGATACATCCTGTTATTCTGTTATGTTGGGTCGTAACCTAACAATAATGCAACACATAGAGCATAGTTACTCAAAGACTGTTATCATATAAAAATTTCACATACTTTTGACCGTTAAAGTCGCTTCAGTGCCAAATCCAATTGCATAAAAAATTTCACATACTTGTATAACAATGTTCGCCTTACATTCGTTTGTTTATTGAATTTGAGACATAAAATTCAAATTTGATGTGAATTAAGCGCTTTTAGCAAGAAAGGCTAGAAACTCTCTGTAAAATGATAATGAGATTTAACGTTTCAGGATTACTCTTGTATTATATCTGTTACTTTTGGGATTATCGGTTACTTTTGGGAAGTGATTTGCAGGAAAAAGTAGTAAATGCCTTGCTGCTTCCCTAACATGGCTCACATGCCATTATCGGTTACTTTTGGGAAGTGATGTTGTCTTATTTTTCAAAAGAAAAGACGCACTGGTTTTAATTCCCAAGTTGTGAGATTGTTTTAGACCTCTATTTTTTTACCTAATTTATCATAACTCGCATAATAATAAAACACCTCACTAAAATTTTTCATAAAGAATTGAACTCGAGTTAGACACTGCATTCCAGTTTTTGTTTAACAGTTTGGTGCATTGCATCATTTTTTTAATACAATGATATATTTACACTAAAGTGGTGAGGGACAAATTCGTTGCAAACTCGTCATTTTCAAGATTTTAAGTAGTATTGATCTATTTCTAAAGATAAAAAATTTGAAAAATGGGTTGCTAATTGTAATGTATTGGCATCAATGTGTAATTTGTTTGTAACATTTATATTACCTTTAGAAAGTTGAACTTGTTGAAGGAAATTTAAAAAGTGAGGCCAACGAGGGTTGGTTGAGTTTGTAAGATTGTTTTCTTTGCTATACTAAGGCCTAGTTTGAAACTAGTTGCAGACAATACTTTTTGACGGGGCATAACTAACCGCATCAGATCTTCTCAAAGAAAAAGGTGAAAAATGCAAAGTCGATGCTTGAAGTAATTAAGCGGTGATTAATGCTCACATCAAGGTATGACCAGCCAAAATAGGGGCCCATTAAAACCTAATTTGGTTAGCTTAAAGTTGATTCACTTAAATTTTAGAAACCCAGACATCATTATGTATTGATAATGACATACAATCCTGTGTCTTGATCTTCTAATCTATAAGTTTTCTTCTTGCTCTTTTCGAATTCCATTTAGCCAGTTTTTAGTGACATGGAAACAAAAGAAAAAGGATACTGGTGACTTAGAAGCTATGTTTTCTCTTCAATTGTTGAAATTGTGCGTAACTCTAGCTTTGCGGGTCAGTTGTCGTAATTGTTTTTAGCTTCTTCCTAGTTTCAATACATACAATAGCTTCTGGGTAAGTTTTAATCCACGTTAGCGATTGATTCCCAAAATCCCATGTAAATATAGAACCGCCCTAGTTTTGTTGTCATCCTTTCATCTAAGTCATTATAAGCCAAAACGTTGCCGCCTTTGGACTTTCACATATTGGATAACGCACGACATGTTACAGAAAATCCCAAGTTGTAACTCTTCGCCACAATCCAAACAGTGTGATTGCATAACATGTCCATATGAACTGAAAATTTGATATTAAAAGAAAAACTAAATAAAATATATATATGTACTTAATATAGAATATATGTGTGTAATGTATTTATATTATTCTAAGACATCCAAATGAACTTTGTTGCACCATCATAATCTTTTGCTATAAGTAAAAGCAATGCACTTTTCATTTAAAATAAACTTTCCAGATAACTAAAGAATTCAATGTAATGCACTCCTCTTCAAATAAACTTTGCAAATAACTAAAGAGTTCAATCCTTCGAACAGACAAATTTCTTGGTCTTTATACTTTGTCAATCTTCTTGTTGCACTCTTCCAAAGATCATTTATCAATGTTTGGACCTGAAAATACATAAAATAAAAAACATAAAAATATTAACACAAGTTAAATAAAAGAAGAGTTGTTAGTAAGTGAAAGAATAGTTAGGAACATGAAATTGCTAAAACAAGGAATACCATGATTTCCTTTTAATCGATGAAATCTACGTGACTCCTGCTATGCAGATCGGTTGTCATAATCACTTCCAACTTCTTCCTAGTTTCAACACATACTATAGCTGCCGGGTCAAAAGTTCGCTCTGAAATTTTCATCCACGTTAACGGTTAATTCCCAATATCCTGAGTAAATATAGCATCGCTCTGGTCTTGTTCCCATTGTTGAACTAAGCCATTATAAGCCAAATCTGCCGCCTCTTCATATTGGATACGTAGGACATGGTATGGGAACTCCCAAGTCGTCTTCAACTCTCCGCCACAACCTAAGCAATGTGATCGCATAACATTTCCATATGAACTGAAAATTTAATATTTCAAAGTTACTAAATATATATATATATATATGCACATAATATAGAAAAGAATGTTATGCGATCACATTGCTTAGGTTGTGGCGGAGAGTTGAAGACGACTTGGGAGTTCCCATACCATGTCCTACGTATCCAATATGAAGAGGTGGCATATTTGGCTTATAATGGCTTAGTTCAACAATGGGAACAAGACCAGAGCGATGCTATATTTACTCAGGATTTTGGGAATTAACCGTTAACGTGGATGAAAATTTCAGAGCGAACTTTTGACCCGGCAGCTATAGTATGTGTTGAAACTAGGAAGAAGTTGGAAGTGATTATGACAACCGATCTGCATAGCAGGAGTCACGTAGATTTCATCGATTAAAAGGAAATCATGGTATTCCTTGTTTTAGCAGTTTCATGTTACTAACTATTCTTTCACTTACTAACAACTCTTCTTTTATTTAACTTGTGTTAATATTTTTATTTTATGTATTTTCAGGTCCAAACATTGATAAATGATCTTTGGAAGAGTGCAACAAGAAGATTGACGAAGTATAAAGACCAAGAAATTTGTCTGATCGAAGGATTGGAAATGAATTGTATTAAATTTTAATATTCACATACAATGTGGGTTTGGTGAATTGTTTTCGAGTGCTAGAGCTTTTCAGTCAAGTTTAGTTCATGACTTTTACGTTTTCTATATCTTTCCTCTCCCAGTACAGCTATCTTTCCTCGTCCCGCGCCCTGCTCTCCCCCAGCCTCCTCTCAATCCACCTAGTCACCGTCTTCTACTTAGTTGTTTAAGTGAGAGTAAAGGTTTAAATTTTAAAGCAAACAAAACAATTCTTTGTTGAGAAACCAAGAAAGGAAAATAGAGGTTGATGAAAGGTATCGAGTCTACAATATGATTTGAAACTCCGAAAGATCATATTTTTTAGAGACAAATAAGCAAGTAGGACGAGTAAAATTTGGCTAGCTCAAAATCAAACACAGAATTCGATGGTATACACATTTCGAAAAAGAAAAAAAAAAGGTCATTCTAAAATGATTTACCCGTGGTATGTCAGTAACTACCCATCATTGAGCGTAATGCACTCTCAGAAGCATAGTTAGACCATTTATGGGACTATGATTTTTAGCCTAAAATGTGGCACGCTGGGTGGCGAGAATGACTAGAATGCCCATAGCACATGACTCTCGGGCTATCGAGCTGGTCAGACTTCTTAGTCAAATTGTACTTAGCTTTAGTCGGGTCGAACTTAGCCCTTAGTTCGACATGCGAGGCTTAATTTGTTACCTGTACGAATCTCTTGTCGTCGGCCTGAATCTCTTGTCGTTAGAGTCTCTTAACCACCTCCTATTTCGTATTATCTCCCTACTCATTTGTCCTTCTCCCTCCTTTATTTCTCACGCTCTTCAATCATAATGTTGGGATCAGAGGTCTACAAGCATAGTCGAAGAAACGTGAGGGCGAGAAGTGGCGGCCGTCCCTCCCTTCGCCGGAAAACATGCCCTAGGACGGCTTCAATTGAAGCTTGCACAGGTGGTGTGTCGCGGTAGTCCTTGGCTAAGAAGGAGCTCCTTCCTGCAACTTCCATGTTAGGGCATTCGGCATACGTCATCGAGAATGGAGACCAAAAGCCGTACGTTGACAAGTGTGGTGCTTCTGCTACCGTTCAACTACTTGAAGCTACGTTTGCTTCAACTCATTCAAACAGTCGGAGACCTGAAGATCAAGAGAAGAAGCCGAAGCATAGTGCTTGATAATGCAGAGGAGAAGCAAATTGAGAAAACCTAGGTGTAGAACTTCCTCTCTAGTTACAAGTTTCCTAGTGGTACAGAGCCGGCAATGTGGAGGACCACAAATGTCTATGGCCGAGAAGGGATGGCGAAGTCGTCGACGAGTAAGGCGTTGAGCTGAAGAGGGATCATTTATCTTGTATGGACAGTTCGAAGTCAAAACATGTGGAAATTGAATGGTGTGCCATATAAGGCGGTTGTGATGCTAAAAGAATTTAAATTGAAGTTTCCATGGAGAATCGCCGGTGAATTGTCCGTGGGGTTTGAGGTGGAAGAGAACCACCGGGTATGGAAAGAGATTTCAGTTTTGTTTATTTCTTTTTTCAGTTTTAATCAAAGGGTGAATTAGGAATTTTAAGAATTTTTTTTTTTGTATTGGGTGTGGAAAGACGTTGAATGGGTTCCAATAAAATTTCTCTTTCAATATCTAAACACTTTGGGAAGGGAATTTCTATGCATTTCCTAATCCATATAATCGGATTCGGTATTTCTGAATTCATAGAAAATTGGATGGGATCAGAATTTTGTAATTGTTTAGGGTGTGCCAATCTCTGAATCTTTCAGTTTATACAATACTAAATAGTACATTTTATTAACCTGTTTTGATCTTAAATTTGAGTGTGTGAATTTATTTAACAGCGGATTCGCAAATATATACGAACCCAAAAACGGGAGCATGGTTTTTACTCGAGCCGCGTGGAGAGATTCCAAAGTTTTGCGTAATCTGTAAGAAGATTAATGATCACATGACCAAGCACTGCCCACAAATTGGTAGGTTTTTGTGTTTTTCTTTTGTTCTCCAATCTGAATCTGCCACTGTTGTACCCCCTAGTTGAAGTACTAGCTTAGTCCTCTATTTGGTAAAAAAAATAAATAGTTGTCATTGATGTTTACTTGGACGTGTCACGCGTTTATGGGGGTAAAAGTGTAGGATTACCATGCTTGACTCTAACCCGAATGATTGTGCAGACTCTTCGACTCAAGTTCCTGACCTGAGTTGTAGACCATGCGGGAAGGAGTCATGCGAATCCAACTTGCACGTATCAGTACTATGTCCCGAAGGGTGAACAAGTTGGGCGTGGCGCTACTCTAATTTGTACATGCTGTAAAAAAGAGGGTTGCCATCCTGGTACGAACGATTGGGTTGGTATTGCTGTTCCGAATTATTGTAAGATTTGTGGGAAGCGTTATGAGCACAGGACTGAAGACTGCCCCCGGAAGCAAGGAATGGAGATGGTTGGTGACCAAGCGGCCTTTGTTGGCGTATGCATAAAATATACCTAATTGAATAGAACTGAGTTCTTGCTCGGCGAGATTATATGTTTCCTATGTTGGGTATGTAAATGTAAAACCGAGACCGACTGCGATGTTCTTATGTAGTTTGGTTGTGACTCGTGAGGATATGTTTTGAAAGCAATATAATCATATTACCTTAACCTCCGTTTAGTTTGTACAACTATTTTAAGTCTGCATCTGCAAAATGTAATGTATGTTGGCCTTTGACTCATGGCCTTGTGTCGTTCGGAGCCTTCAAGGCTTCCATTTTTGCTTCTTTGTCTGTTGGCCCTCGTGCTGTGTTGGCTCATTGCGAACTCTTGTTGTCACCTTTGGCTCTTGCCAACTTTGGTTCCCGTCGTTGTACCCTCTGTGGTCGTCGCAGCTCGATCTCTAGCCTTTGGGGAATTCATGCCTCTTAGCTTCCTTTGTTTCTCTCGAGTCCGAGGTCTCACTAAACCCGACTTTCGTCCTTGGTCCTCATGGCCTTTAAGCTCCGTTACTAGCTCACTAACAACCGCCCTTGCATTGCGCATTCGTCTTCTCACTTGGGATGCTTGTGTTGCTTCATTCACGTAATCGCAGAAAAATCACGACTCATAAATTAGAATTATTCCAATACTCATTTCAACTGATTCCAAGTAAATATATATCTCGAAAGGTAACAATGACGGACAGTACTAACTAAGTGCACTTTCATGTTCACTCATGGTGATTGACGTGCTTTAACCATACACATGTTATAATCGGAATCCTGCACAACCCACCAAGTTTGACCCATAACGTTTAGGCCTCATTCAATTTTGTTTAAACTCTGATTTTGTGAGCAAAGCAAAAAAGTTCAGGGTTGCTTTTTCATCCAATTAGATGTTCATATAGCTTCGAGCCACCTATTAATATAGGCAGTATAATCTTTCTGAATTGGAATTCTCGATTATTTTACAGTAATTGGCTTCAATGTGGTTGAAATTGAAGGCAATACCTTGGCAGCTAGTAGTTAACTGAAAAATTCAACAACACGGTCCCACATCGACGCTGCGCAAAACCACAAAAGCCTTTATATAGTCCTTTCCGCCATTGCTTGACACGATCTTACTTGAATAGGGATCTGTTCTATCATTTGTATCCTTGATTTCTGTGGAGAACTTCAGCCTGGTGGATGAACCATCACCAAGTGATCAGAGCCGTCCCTAACAGCCCAATGACTCTTGGATCGTTTGAGCGGTGGACGATCGTTCAACGGCCTGAGGATGTCTGACAGACCCAGTTAGAGAGATAGATAGGTTTTGCTAGGACAAGTACGAAGTGGGTTTAAAATATTTTAGTTTCCTAATTATAATACAAAAGGATTACGAATAAAAGAGTAAGGGAAGAATACTAATATTATTACTTTCAATTTTTTTCTTTCGCAGTGTGTACTGTGATAACATAAAGCAACATTAGTTACAAACCAAACAAACATAATGATTACACTTTTTAAAGCATTACACAACTATTATTATCATACTATTCCCAAGTCCACCTTACTGTGGGCATTCAAGCATCAGGAAAATAGGGTGGGTGATTATACCGCACCACCTAATATTGCTGTAAAATTATATCTACAATTCAAAATAGGCGATGATACCGCACTATCTTTGATCGCAATAAAATTAGCATAAATAAATACTGGGTTAGTAATCAGGAGCTACATCAAATAAAAAAATCAAAGATATAAATAATTGTTATATTGAGAACTAGAAGCAGCATGGTCCCAGCAGTTCTTCGCAAGAGTACATCCAGTAGATGAGGCAGAGGAGGAAGAAAAACATGAAAATCCTTGGAGGAAGCATTTTTCAGCGAAGGGAAATAAGAACTGGTCAGGATTAGAGAGTCGTGTTGATAACGTGTTATAAATAGGCAAAAGTTAGAGAGATAACCTTTGCTAGGGACATGAGCGAAGCGGATGCAAAATATCACACTGTTTAGTTTCGTAACTATAACACAAAAGGATTGTAGATAAAAGAGTGAGGGAGGAATACTGATATTATTGCTTTCAGTTCTTTTCTTTCACAGTGTGTATTGTGATCACACAAAGTACTCTCCGTGACAAACCAAACAAACATATAATTACATTTTTTGAAAGCATTACACAACTATTATTATCATACTATTCCCAAGTCTACCTTACTGTGGACATTCATTTATCCACCAATTTTACAACAGAATTTATAATTTTTACGCCCTACTCTATTCCTCAAGTCCCACAGGGCATTCTTCCACTAGCCATTTGAAAAGATGAATCTCTACCTTGTGAATAAGCCATAGGGCATTCTTCCACTGGCCATTTGAAAGATGAATCTCTACCTTTTGGAGAGATTTTTTAGTGTGACTGGCACACGATGTGGTACACCATGTGTCATTATACAAATTGTGAGATTTGTGTGTTAAAAAGTTAATAACTTAAAAAATAAAATTTTCCACCATTTACATAAAAAGAGATGGTGTATCATCCGTATTCCCGTCACAATAAAAAATTTCCCTACCTTTTGAATAAGGTGCCTAGCCTGTCTTATTTAATAATGCATTGTTATGTATAATTCTTTTTTCACATAATTACACACGATTATTCTAAGGAGGTGAGAAGAAGGAATTCTAATTTCTAGAAGCAGTCTTTTCTTTTTTATTTCGTTTTAGATCGTATTAGGTATGCCATATATAACAGGAAAGTTTCAATAAAGAGTAACCTTAGGGAGATCAAATTTTTTAAACCAAATGATATGTCACCAATAAAATAAGCACGTTAATCGACACTTAATTAATAATTTAATCATCTACAACCACATCATTTAGTTTGCAAAATTTAATTTAAAAATTTTGGTCTCCCTAGCATTATCCTTCAGTAAAATAATGTAAAATTCTTTGTGAAACCATCCCACTTGCTCAAGTAGGTTTTACTATTAATAATAATACATCGTCTTACAACCAATATTTTTAACATCATACACTTCTATAAATTAGAACGGCGATTGGTCCTGCCTATCTTCAACATTTTGAACCAAATTTACAGAAAAAGACTCTGGTTCTAGTTCTCCACTTCTTGCGAATCCAAATACAAACCCTGTTTCATTTTCATCTTTGTAGGTCAGTTTGCGAGAATCTCAATTCTGAAGAAATAAGAACTAATCAAACTTTAGAGTGTGGAAATCCGACCGATTATTCGCATCATCTTCTTCCCACAGATCAAATTACCCTAGAAATAGAGTTTGATTATTAAAAAGTAATCTTATCTTCTGCCCAAGACAAGTGATCCAACCCAAAGCCAATGTGCAAATGCTAAAAAATTCTAGCAATCTATGTCGGTAATAGTAGCTGGAAAATTCCAGTTGTGTAAGTCGGTGGGAGTGTGTGCATGATCATGCAGTGGAAAAAAAAAAGGTCGTACCCAGTGCACAAGGCTTCCGCTTTACGCAGGGTCTGGGAAAGGTGAATGTCGGCTAGCCTTACTCCCATTTATGGAGAGGCTGCTCCCAAGTCTCGAACCCGAGACCTACCGCTCATGGGCGAAGGCACAGTGAAAAGTTATAGAAAAATTGTGAGGACATTATGCAAGCCAATGTTGGTGTGCATCTAGAAAGGTTAGCTGATTGTAAACTTGTGTGGTTGAAATGCAAAGCCCAAAGGCGGTGGGCAGTAGTAAGTCGGCAAAGTATGCCTATAAATATAGGTATGTGTGTGTGTTGTGATGAAACAACCAAGAGAGCAAGTAGTGAGAAGAAGCAACAAAGCTTCTAAGAGTGTTTGAGGGTTCCTCTTGTACTAAGTTTGTGAGTGAATAAAAATCTTGTGTAATACTTTGAGTATTTTTGTCTTTCTCTTACCTATCAATTCCGCTGCATTACATTCTTCTTTGTGAGATAAACATCTCCAAAGTAGTGAAGTCTTTTTAAGCCCCAACATGATTCTCGTTCTCTCTTCTTCCGATCTCAATACCCTAGCTAGAAAACCTTCACTGCATATTCTCCACTCATTTTACTCTATTTTTTTATGTGCATTATCTAAATTCAGTAAGATTAATTAACTAATGGATTTGATGAGTTGCTGGAATAGAAGCACAAGGGACTACTCAACAGTGATTGGAGCAAAGGCTGCAAGTTCAAACAAGTTGCCTTCTTCTAGCTACGAAGGAGTAGTGCCCCAGTCAAATGGCAGATAGGGAGCTCAAATATACGAGGAGAGTCATCGTGTGTGGTTGGGAACCTTCGACGATGAAGAAGAAGCTGCTAAAACCTACAACATTGCTTCGTTAAAGTTCCGGGGTCTTGATGCCGTCACAAATTTCAGTCGGAACCAAATGACACCCTACGAACGTGATGTCACTCAGGCTCTTTTCTTGGAGTCCCATTCCATGGCTGAGATCGTTGACATGCTTCGAAAACATTCTTATGCCAACGAGCTGGAGATGTACAAGCATAAGTTATACAATGGTGGTGCCCTAGGCCTTGATGCCGGCGGAAAGAGTATTAAGTGTCACCTTGATTTAATGGACACATGTAGTAGCGAGAGGGAGTTGCTTTTCGAGAAAGTGGCAACACCAAGCGATGTAGGGAGATTGAACTGCATGGTTATAACAAAACAGCATGCCGAGAAGCATGTTCAGGTTCAACTGAGTGTAGGGTTTGGTAGAGGGGTGTTGTTGAAATTTGAGGATGAGGTCGGTAAGGGGTGGAGGTTTGGGTATTGTTATTGGAGAAGTAGTCAGAGTTATGTGTTGAGCAAAGGGTGGATTCGCTTTGTGAAGGAGAAGAAGCTGAAAGCTGGTGATGTTGTGAGGCTTGAGAGATCAGTAGGGGAGGATAAGAAGCTGTTCATTGACTGTAGACCAAGAAACGTCGATGTGTCGAGGATCAGGGAGATGCATGGTTGGGTTGGACAATCTCACCATTCCATCATCTTGAACCGTCCCTAAAGGCTCACCAACCCAACCATGCATCTCTCTGATCCCCGACACATCGACGTTTCTTGGTCTACAGTCAATGAACAGCTTCTTATCCTCCCCTACTGATCTCTCAAGCCTCACAACATCACCAGTTTTCAACTTCTTCTCCTTCACAAAACGAATCCACCCTTTGCTCAACACATAATTCTGACTACTACTCCAATAACAATACCGAAACCTCCA